TTACCCTAATTAAAGCTCCTTGTGTGCCGCTGAGCATATTAGCACACTGATCTGCAGCAAACTACTGATCGGCTGGTTGATAATGTACTTTTTTTTTTTTTTTTTTTTTTTTTTTTTTCCTTCAGCCTGTCTCTTATCTTGCTCTCAGTGATTATTATCACAGATTCACATCCTCGGTCAATCATCATCAGAAGCTGAAAAGATAAAAAACTTGAATAACTCTACTTCTCCACGTACGCATATACAGATGAAAGTTCACACACAGCCGTATGTATAGAGACGTAAAATCACGTGCAAAGTCAAAGTAGAGTAAATGTTTGAGATAAGGGAAATGAAGGCATAAGGGGAGGATGAGATGGACTCGAAGGTATCACACAAATTTTACTATTTTAACTAAAAGATAAGAGGAGCGTCTGACTTATCTACGGAAGAGTCCAGAAGATTAAACGTATAAAAATGTTTTCAAATTTCTCATAATCAGAAGCGTCACTGTGGAAAAAACCCAATGTTTGTAACGAGACGCATTTGCCCTGTCTAAACCAAACAGTCAAATATGTCATGGATTTCACTTTTCCACTTCTTTAAAAAAAGGCAGCCACGTCAGAGTTTGTTGTGGTTTGTTGTAGCGTGGTGAAATTCGCTGTGATGACGCATCTCACCACAACCGCAGGAAAATGTTCACAAAGTCACAGAAACAAACACAAACTACGGTAATTTGTTTTGCACTTTGATTTGATCCAATTAGAGATTTCACGGTATATGTGTGCTGCAAAATGTGAGAAAAATGCTTTTAGTAGATTAGTAACTCATGCCCTCTATACAACAGAGCGGGTATCTACAATATGCCAGCTGAAACCAGCTGACAGGTGCAATTAAGAAAATCCCAAACATTGATTGTACTTAAGAATGATAGATTTCAGCCATAGCTTGTCCCTCCAGCTACAGCTTCTGGTTAAATTTTAACAAATCACACAGAGAAAGCAACAATGCAGCTGCACTTGAGCATTAACCCTCCCCATGATCCCCTCCAACCCTCTTACATCCATGATTAAGGGCCACAGGGCTCACATAAGAGGGCATGCTGTCCCTCCCCCGCCCCCCCCCCCCGCCCCCCCCGCCCACTAATGTATACTAACTGTACCTACGGCCCATTATGGAGGCAAAGCAAGAGCAATTCTCTGTTTAATAGCCTCACATTTACACACACTCTGTCATCTGGCTAAGGATTGTTAGTTTAAGATAGTCATTTCATAACAGCCTTTGTGTGAAGGTGGTGCATGTGTGCATGAGTGTGTCCTATTGTAGGGCAGTGATGGCAGCAGACACACACACACACACACGACTGATTTCCACAGGAGAGCCTCAAGTCTCTGGAATCAAGATTAATAAGAGGCCATTTACATCTCCAATCAGATCAGTGAGCGAGAGAGACAGAAGAGTGAGAGTGAGAGAGAGAGAGAGAGAGAGAGAGAGAGAGAGGTGGAAAGTGTGAAACAGAGCTAAAAAGAGACCACACAATAAATACAACCGCTAATTCTTTGTCTGCTTTTGTTCATTGTACACAAAGAGCCTGAAAACCACCTGCACACATACATACACACCCACAAACATTTACACACCCCTGCTCACTCTCACACACACACACACACACATTCCTCATATCAGAGAGCAGATCAAACACTGGGCTGTTGTCAAGGTCCATATAGATGTATAACTGAGCTATTCCATGGGGCCTCTGACACACACACACACACACACACACACACACACACACACACACACACACCACACACCACACACACACACACACACACACACACACACACACACACACACACACACACACACACACACAGAACTGTTCTTCTGGGACCTACAGAGCTTTAATGACAGCAAGCTGCACTGAGAAGGGGTCAGGCAGGAGAGTCAATGTTCAGAGGCCACACACACGCAGACACACATTCGCATTACCTCACACAGCATACTCGCCTGCACTTATACACACACAAAAGAGAGCAGAAAAATTCAGCTCACGCTCACACATGCACTGACGGACAAAGTTACAGGCTCATGTACACTGGCGGATACAAAGCTGACATACAGATGCAGTTTTTATTCATATGAGGATGTATATGCAAACACACACACACACATATACACACAAACGCAGGCACAGCCGTGAGGGAACACTGGGGAAGGTAGGATCCAATTTGATTTGACCTTGACAGCACAGAGGGAGGAAGGGAGGGAGGGAGGGAGGGAGGGAGGGATGGATGGAGTGCAAGGAATGAAGTGATGGTCTGGGCCAGATGCCTGTTGCAGATACTTGAGAGAAATGAGATGACCTTGAACTGATGGCTACAAATCATAGAACAAGAGACAGCGGTGTGACACGGTGACATCTGTACGCATAAAACGATGAGACAGACGTGCATCAAATGTTGTAGTTAATCTAACATACATGTGCATAATATCTTGTGTAATGAACCTACAATCAAATATTTTCCTGGATGCGCCTGCGTTCACTGACCAGGCCGATGAGAACTGCTGCTCCTTAATAATGACAACAATTAGGAAAAGGCTTTTAAGTTCAACAACGGCGTAAATATGCAGTGTCAATGCAAAATTAATGATGAAAATGCTGCCAGAAACTCTGGCTGTTAAAGTTTTTTTAAAGCATGATTTGTCAAAAATTCAAGATGAATTTAACGCTGTAATTTTAATTCATCCTGTTGAGGGAAAAATATATAACAAAAAACAGTTTTGCTGAGAGACAATTACCACAGATCTCCGAAGTTTCTTACATTGGCGGGACATTTTTAAAACACGGTTTACTGTATATTATCCAGCTGCAGATGTGCATTTCCTCTTACAGATTAGCAAACAAAAAGGCGTGCTTATCACTGGAGATGTTGTTTATTACAACCAAATCACAGATGTGCATTAGCAAACCGTTCCCAGCTTCTGTTTGTTCATCTTGAGCACATTCTTAAGAACATCAGACAGCCCCCAGATGTGAATGTGTGCAGCTTTGAGATCAGGAGATAAGTGGGAAATGTTGACACGATGCAAACACAATCCACGCTGCAAATGTATCCCACAGTTAACTGGGACTATTATTTTATTTTCTAAACTAAAGCTGAAGAGCTGTTGCAGTAAATTGGTTTCATTTTTTGCAGAATAAAACACTTTAGTCAGTACTTGACTGAGCTGAGTTATTTTGATCTGTATCAGCTTTATTAAGCCAGATAAAATTCCGAACCTTTGTCTATTGTGCCTCGGTGCTCTCCATCACCACCAGCTCTCATATGTGCAGTAATTGTCGTAAACTGACATTATCCACAACTTGTGGCAAGTGAGGCGTGTGTTATAAAAAGTTAACAAGCAGTGGAAACGTCTTCAATATGGAACCATTTTCAATTGGAAAATGAAAGCAGCCTAACATTCACTTGTAATCTTTTCTTTGTTCTCTTTGCGAGGCGGCAGTAACAGCTTCTTTCAACGTGACAAATTGGATATCGTAAGACTTTTAATTCTGATTGTCCTTTAAATGTTATTTTTAGTCTATTTGGTCTTTTTGGTCAGTGGTTTTTGTAATCACAAGAGATATTTATAGTTTTACAGTTTGCTATTGTGTAAATGAGAAACATTTGAGCACGCAGATGCAGAGCTATTGGTGTTTTCTAAACTGCCTTCATTTTAATAGTTGTATCAGATTTTGCTGTATGCACATTATTAAGTAACTCAGAATGAGGTTTATAGCAAAAAGAAACTTGTTTGAGACTAAACTACCAATGTGTAGTTTGCTCAACAGAATCTGAGATGTTATGCTATTGGCCTGCAAATGCATCATGCAGTCTGAGTTTGGTTCAAGGTTCAACATATTTTTAGCAGTGGAGCATTTTCTTACCTGCTCTTCCCACACTGTGTCCACCCTGTAGCATGATCTCTCTATTCTCACTGCATCCCACTCCTACACTTTTATCTTTGCTTCTCCCTCCATCTCTCTTGCCAGCTGACATGTACACATTTACTAAATATTGCAGCAAACCTGCCAACTCCTCACACTTACTATCACACGAAAGAAAGAAAAGAAAAAAAAAACAAACAAATGAATCACAGCAGACAAAGAGAATGGCAGGCCGGGCGATATGATGCAGGAGCAATTGATCAGGCCACAGTAATCCATTTTCTTCGTCTTGGTGGTGGAGGGCTCAGAGAGAGAAGTGTGGTGTGTGTGTTAGTATTTGTGTATCTGTGGGTACACGCTCTGTGTGAGTAAGAGAATTGGAATAAAACTGAAAGCACAAAAGAAAAAAACTGAGCTCAGTTTTCTGTAATCAGATCAGCAGATCGGGTTCCATCAACCTCGTCTACAACATGCTATCATGAGCTGGGGATGGCCAGTGAATGGACGGGTAGAGGGTGGGGGGTGGAGGGGGGTTGACAGAGCGGGAGAGGGACAAAGTAGGAGAGAAAGCAAGGGCTGAGAGGGAAGGGTGGGCCTCATGCCCTGAACTTGAACTTGGAGCTGGTGGGGTCGCAGAGAGGAGGATGGGGTCAAGCGCTCAGAGTGGATGGAAAAAGAAAAACCCAGCTGAGTGACACCAATATCTCCCTGCTCAGAGACAGATGGGGGAGAGGGGGAGAGGGGGACATGGTGCCATTTAGCAAGCTGACTTGTGAGGCAATTTCAACGTCTATCTCTGTGCTGTTTCAAACTGTATCAGCACAGGACCTAAAGTGTGTTGATTCTGGTCTTTCCCTGGCTTGGTAAAACTCATCGGAAGACATGACATCGGAAAAAAAGAATTTTGTCCTAATCTGGTACCGACAGCGACAAATTACATAGAAGGTATTAAGCTCATAAACAGAGGGGTTGCAAGATGATTTTAAGATGGTTACATGATGAAACACTAATGTGTATTTGCAACACACAAACACATTTATTCCCTTTGGGTTAGAGGGGTAAAATAGGTCAACCTTGCTGACCATCCTACCTTGGTCTGGAGATAGTGGGGGTAGTAGTAGGTGTAGTGGGGGTACATTGGCTGCTGCTCCAAACGTTTTCCCATGTAGCTGGAATCCAATTGAAGGTCCTGGAGGCTGGAGAGAGAAGCTCACAGGTGGGGTACGATCACTCCAAGGGGCTGGCCTGGATCCTTCAGACGACTGTTTCCAAGAGTCGAGGGATGCAGAGAGAGAACACTCTCCTCTTACTGACGTGTGTGTGTGTGTGTGTGTGTGATAAACGCACGGAGGAGGGGATGGATAGGAGGACAGTTAGTACTTGGGATATTAGTCTGTCTACTTGTCTGGGAGCTCAGAGGAAACCTCACAAAACAATTCTTCCCGTGGGTCTGGAAAAAGAGACAGAGAGAAGAATCTGGAGTGGCAGCAGAAAAGAGGTTTGGGAAGACAGAGGTGGAGGGTGAGGAAAGGAAGATATGAAAGGATAGTAGGAGGCAATACAGGAAACAATAGGGGAGATTAAATAGCAGGACGGAGAGAGGGTAAAAGGAGAGGGAAGAAGAAGAAGAAGAGGATGACGAGGAGGAGGAGGAAAGAAGGAATGGATGGGAATCGGTTGCCGGTTCCGTGCACTCTCCGCTCTAAAAATCAGACTCACTCTTCTTCTTCTCTGCTGCCCTGAACATGCCCCTTCAATTTCCAGTGTCTCTCTCTCTCCGCTTGTCTCCCTCCGTCTCTTTCTCTCTTCCTGTGTATCCGTTTCCCTGTCTCGTTCTTCCTCCCTCTCTCTCACACACACCAGACGAGACCCTGATCCCACTGGGAGCTCGGCTGTATCCTGGAGAACGCACGCTGTCCTCTGCTCTATCCTCAAAAGACAGTGAAATCAGCGATGAACTCACACATGGATGTGGAGCTAGAGAGAGAAGAGGAGGAGAGGAGGAGGAGGAGGAGGAGGAGGAGGAGGAGGAGGAGGAGAGAGGGTGGTCTGGAGCTGAAGCTGTGACTGCCTTTTTCCTCACTCTCTCTTACTCCCTCCCTCTTTTGTTAAGCTCTGGGGATAGATAGGTAGATATCGCTGGAGCCCGGCGTGGAGGATGAGAAAAAAGAAAAAGCCTGGGTAAAAACTCCTCTCAGTCAAGAAGAAGCAGATAGCCTTATCCAGACGCGCACTCACACAGAGGAAAATCCCTTCTGATCCACAAGGTGCCTCCTCCAACTCTCTTCTCTTTTCTTCTCTTTCCCTCTGCAATCCTTCTCTTTCTTCTCAAGCTCTCTCCCTGACGGCTTGCTTCCCACTGCGCCTGGCAGCCGTCACTGTGTGTGTGTGGTGGTGGTGCTGGTGGTGGTGGCGGCAGCAGCGGCGGCGGCTGTGGTGGTGGTTGTGGAGGTGGTGGTGTGTGCGTGTGGTATGTGTGTGACTGTGCATGTAACTGAGAGGGGAGTGTGTTTGTGTGGCTGTTGCCGTCTGCTCCACTCTGCGTGCTGAGGCATAGAGGGGCTCGGCTTCAGCGCAGCTACGCTCCTCCCTCCCTCTCTCTCTCCCTCTCTCTGTCTGTGTCTCTCGCCCTCTGTGTTTTTCATGGAACTATGGAGCAGTGGGAGTGGTTGGTCCTGCCCTCGTTCAAGCCCTGGGGTGTGTGTGTGTGTGTGTGTGTGTGTTTGTGTGTGTGTGGGTGTGTGTGTGTGTGTGTTTGTGTGTGTGTGGGTGTGTGTGTGTGTGTGTTTGTGTGTGTGTGGGTGTGTGTGTGTGTGTGTGTGTGTGTGTGTGTGTACTAAATAGAAACTGAGAGAAAAGGAGAGAGACAGAGATGGGCTGTTCTTGCAGGCAGGGAGGCGGAGCTGAAGAGCAGGAGCTGGGGTAAAGGGTGAGAAGAGGATACACAAGAAATAGAATTTGGAAACAGAGAGGCCCCCCTGCTGGCACTCTATAGGGGCAACAATGGCATAGTTTCCATAATAAAAGTCTTTGGATTCCTTAAACTGAGCAACATATTTTTCAATTCCATCTGAGCTATTATTTAAGGCTAATCTCTATTATACAACATCACACAATCAGATGACACATACACAGATAAGCAGATGCATGAACACGGGTCTGAATGACCCTCCAAAATGTGTGGTTGACTGCACACAGCGATGCTCCATTCACACATGCCCAGTGAAGGGCCCAACATAGAGTGTGTATGTAGTTCAACGGTTAGGTGGCACAGTGACCCACTGACACAGTGCTGCCTGTTATGTGATGTAACCAGGTTTAAGTAGTGCTCTTACATAAGCACAGTGAGCCATGCATGAAAAGGCTGCTCTGCCCTCTGACTGCAGCTGTGCGCGTGTGAGAAAGAGACAAGGGTTGGCAGACAATGCAAGTTCACTGCAGTGGAAAAGGTGCACAAGAACAGAATGCAAACGCAGAACCTTTCTCTAAGATAAGGGCTTTATTTCTTGTGGGCAATTAAACTACTTTGCAGACTGTGATGCAAACACGCATTGCCGTCTTTGTGCTATTGTGTGCTCGTATTAGAGTTTTCTGTCACTATGCCCACGTGTCTGTCTGTATTTTTATAGCGTTCCTATATCAGCTTTAACAATAAACACTAATGATATGTTTGGCTCAGAGGCGTGTTTAACAACTAAACATCATTCAGTGCAACATATAGAAGGTTGTTGTGTAAAAATTAAAAATACAAGTTATGTCAGGCGCCTACAACACAGCGTCTCATGAAGACATCTCAAAGTTCTCAAAAGTGATTTTGACGATTCTGCTTCTTTGACCACTCGACAACAAATACATCCAACATGTCTGATCCAGATTAGGACCACACAGATGTGATAGAGAGCAAGGACGGTAATTCAACTGAAACCAACTCCCTCACAACATACTAACCAGTGTAAAGTAGGCATGTGCAGAGATGCTATTGAGAGGTGGCTGAACATTGTCTGCACCACTGATGGCGACAGTGTTACAGTTCCCTAAAAAAAAAAACAACTGTGCAACTACAGCGGTGTCTCCGTAGATTGCCACTGGTTTCCAGTTAATCAAGAGGATTTTTACTTGACTCATGCCTTGTCTTACCTCAGCACTGGTGTGTGAAGGCAGCTGTCTGAGTCATAACCTATAACACACTACAACAGTAACATCATGTCTGGAGGCGAGCCTGGACTCGCTGAGAATCACTTTCATTTTCTTTTTCTTTTTTTTTTTTTGGCTGTATTGCCTTGATAACCACATGACAAAATTATTTATTCCTCAAACTGAAACAAGTGTGTCATCAGGACTGCATACATTACATGCTGTGATTTGTATACAGTTATTATTTTCAGCTATGCGTTAATAGTCAGTCTTTGTAATTGTCTATTTGTGTCAATATTGGTTATGTTTAATATGGTGGTGTGCTGTTTTTTTTTCTTGTTGTGTCCTGTTAATTATGCAATGGTCATATTTTCCCATGGGAATAATTACAGTTGCTCTAATCAGATATTATGTTCTGCTATATGTTTGCTATAGTTTAACCTTGAGAAATATATATACTGTATATATAACCAGGGGCTTTTACATCTGAAGAACCTTGTAATAGAATGTTTCGTGATCATACTTATCAGTTACAGCAGCAGCAGAGATTTTTTCTGTCACCCAAAGGAGCACAGACAGGAAGTTAGTCATCAGCTAAATGGCTGCTTGGCTTATATAGGGTATGGTGGAGTCAAAGCAAAATGGAAGTCAAGAAGTGACTCAGCCAACAAGGGCGCACAGCTGTAGCAGGTTGAAGCCATCAGATGACAAGTAGTTAAGATAAGCCCAAATGTAACACAGCAACTATGCTCTTACGCTAACAGTGACGCACATCCCTGCCTCTGCACGCACACTCGTTGAATGAAAAGCTGCTTCTAATTGTAGATCAATGGCACTAGTCAATAATTAAATATTAAGTAAAACTGCCCAAAGTTACCATCATGTGCTGGAAGACCCAGAGAATGGGTGTTTGGCGAACACTGCGGTCAAGTTGGGGTGGTGGAAAAGTCGATGAAGCTTACCATCTTTACTCAATGACACTCAATCTTTATTTTGATGGAAATAATACCAGCTAGTTCTCAAGGCCACCCTATATTTTAATCATAGAAACAGTCCCTAGAATAAAATATATTTTTCTACATTCCATGTAGGCTACCGCTCAGTGGATTAAATAATGCTCGTCTGGCTCACAGAGGAGTTTCTGCATGAGCTAATTTCGCAGTAATTCCAGCCTGTAGTTAGCAGTGAAATATATAAGCATGTTGAAGGGCCACTGCAAGAAAAAAAAACAGGCTGTATTGATTATATTGCACTTGTAGTTCAGGAGCGTGCATTCCTGACTCTTTGCAGCCAGAAGGGTTATACGCACACAGAGCAGTTTGATGGAGGATGGTTATACATTCATTCAACGGCACTACGCAAGGAATGCCAAATGACAGAGGGATACAGGGAGATTGTGAGTGTATGTGTGTGTGTGTGTGCGCGCGTGCCTGCGCGTCTACTATATATGAGTAGCACAGCAGCCAAAGTTGTCATGAAAAATTAAGATTCTGCTGACACTGCAGTTTGGGGAAACAAAGAGAGAGAATTGATTCTTCCAACTGCACAGTTCACTCCTATTATGAGGAGCACAATCTTTACATCTCGCTCTATATTCTGCTGCCACAATAAAGCTTCCTAATTACCCTGTCTAGTGACAAGACAGCCATAATGGTGGTGGTAAATACACACTGGTTAATTGCATTAATTTTAATATCAAACAGACTTGAATTACATCTTAAGTACAATCTAATTGCCTATTTGTTTCTAAAGACTGAATATGTATCTGCTGCATCTGCATTTCTTTGCAAAAAGGATCTTCTTCTTAGCAGAGACACTGTTTTCCATGTCCACTGCTTGACAAATACCAGACAAAAACTGACAGCTGGAGCAAAATATCAAAGTGTTGTCATTGACACTGTGTGTTCTTACAGGCTCCGGTCATCAAAGCAGTTTTTAAATGGAGCAGGAAAGGCCATGCTGTGACTCTCATGTGTTCCTCTCATCGCTGACCACCAGATGTATAACAAACACTGAGCCAGAAAAAAAAAGAAGAGTAAAAGCCTCACATCTTAGCTCAGATACAGCTGGAAAAACAGAGGAGGTCATGATGACGATAGGCCCATTCTACAGAAGCCGCTCTGGTCGGTTTTCAAGGAAAACACTAGCCAGGATATCATCACACACACACACACACACACTCTGTGGTATTTTCACATAGCAGATTTACAGTGGTAAATGGACTATTACATCCAATTGCCACACACAGCATGAGGGAATTTGTCTCTTTGCGAGTCTCCTGAGATACAAACAAAGAGACCGCAGAGAATGAAGAATAAACTGTTTTAGGTTTCTTTGATCCACAAAATCGAATAAAAAGAATTAAATAATTAAGAAAATAGAGCCACTATCTCAGTCAATTTAGCGCTGAGTGTGTTAACATCCAAATTACATCCAAGCTAAAACATTTAACCTTATTCATGCACCGTCAGTATCCTGCAGAAGAATGTTTCGGTGAAAGGCTGAGCAAATCCAGTAACTCTAGGCAGCTGTAGCTCAGGTAGAAGAGCTGGTTGGCCATTAATTGCAAGGTTGGTGTTTCAAATCGTAATTAAGCCCCAAAGTGCTCCTAATGTGCTGGGAAAAAATGTAATAGTCTGGACAAAAGTGTATCTCTGTATCTTAAATGACGCACATTTTCACAGACAACAAACAATACCAGACTAAGGCCTCCGTTGTGACTTTCGATCTGAAAGGCGAGAATCACAAGAATCAAACAAAATCAAAAGACAGCCGAGGCCCATCAGAAGGCTATTTTGCAGGAGCCTTGCTCGCTTTTCTTCACAACTGTCCTTGAAAAATATACGATTTTCAACAATGAAGTGAAAAACTTTTGATTATCAACATTTTTTTATTCTTTCACCCAAGGATGTCACAATACCCACAATTTGGTCGTCGGTACCAGTGCCACTGAAATTCCACACGACACAACGATTCTCCACGACACCAAATTTGATATCAAGGTGCACACACAAACACGTACTTGCATACTGGCTTGCGGTTGCCTATATCTTGTCCCTGATGATCAGCCTCAAACGCAATGACTCATGAAGTGTTTCTTTCCCCCAAATCGCAGCGCAACTCCTGCTGCTCCCGCACTTGCTGCCACCATTCCACATGTTGTTATTGACACTGTGCCTACCTTCCGTCTTCTTATTCTTCCTTTTGTGTTTGACATCAGACTAATCAACAACTAATCAACATAACTTCTACTTAATCAGATTTTGAAAACTAATTTTGGTATAAGTTATTTTCCAA